ATCAGGGCTGTGGAGTCGCGTAAAAATCTACCGACTCCGACTAGGGGCAGACTTGTTACCGAAAGAGACCCGGAAATTCTGATGTCGTCACGTGACCTCAGAATAAAATATTCAATAAATAGAGTTGTAATAAAGATAGAGCATAGAAACTTTTTATTCCAAAGCTAAAAGACTTCTCTAAGTAATATATAAATATGTATTCGATAATTTTTACTTTTCCGGCTGTTATATATAACAGAGGAAAGTGTAGCGCTCGGTCAAAAAAATGACCCCTCCCAAATTTTTACATTTTTGGATTCGGGACACCTTGAAATTTCGAGATATGCAAAAGATTTGAGGTTTTTTCTATATGTGTGGATATTAGACTGTGTGTGGGGGAGCATGATTTCGTTCACCCTGTTTGAAGCCTAATAATTTCTGTGGTCATAGTGGTCAGAATCGGAGTCAGATGGTTTAACACAGGAGTTAGTTATTTAAGTCAAAGTGGTTGAACTAAATCATTCTAACATCTTAAGCGAGAACATCTTAACAGGTTTTACTGTACTATTATAAAATGGCAAAAAAGCTTACTTTCAGGTAAAGATGAGTTTTATTTTATTTTTTTAAATTTTGAATGCTAATAATGAGTAAAATATTCATTAAGAGATATGACACATGACCACTTATGTGTCTTCACCCTGTCGACCTTTAATTAAGAACCAAAATTTAATAGTATTAATACCCCTTTATACGCAAGCTACAGTGCCACATTTCGTTTCTTAAACTTTACCCATTCTGAGATATTGTTTAATATCTCAGAACAGAAAGGAAAGAAATTAAACAAATTAGACACCAACACACACGCGCGCATGAATTTTTCCCCTTTATTGACTTTTTTGAGAGGTTCGGGAGGTCTCCAAACATGTAGATTTGCAAAAAAAAAAACTTGGAGGGTCAAATTTGACATGATTCCAATACTTTTCTGTTTTATATACATAACAAGTTTGGAAGTAAAAAGGAGTCGGAGTCGGTGGATTTTTTGATGACTCCAACTCCGGCTAAAACATCAAAACTCCACGACTCCAACTCCACAGCCCTGGTTATAATAAAAGATTTGGTTTCAATTTTAGTTAAGTTCTATAGAACAATAAAAAGATGGAAAATTTGATTTCATGTTTTTTTTTTTTTTTTTTTTATAAAGTACAGGTATACCTCGCCTTACGTCGGTAATTGGTTCCAGGAAAACGACGTAAGTCGAATTTACCTGTCTCCGAATCTACTTATCACTAGGAAAGCATTTTAAATAATATTTGGTTAATAAAAATCTATTTTAAGCTTACAAACAAATAAATTTTAGTTTTTAATATAGTACAAAAAAAGAATCTAAATTTACGAATGCGTGTACTGTAAATACAGTACATACTTGTATATATTTTAATATGATTTTATGTGCTTTAAACGTTTATCTAGTGATATTACGACTTCAATATTTGTGGCGGACAGACGTAAAGTCGAATAAAATGACTTAAACTTGATTTTTATTTTTCCATATACTTTTTTAACAAGCGACGTATAATCGGGAACGACGTAACTCGAAATTGACGTAAGTCGAGGTATGCCTGTATTTAGCTAATTAGTTTAAAAAGTCATATTATTAAATAAATACAAAATATCTGTATAAAATAATCATCAAAAAATACAAATTGACAACTTTTTAAATATTAAATACATTCATAGAAATATTCAAAAATAAGACTTACCTTCCAGAATATGAACTAAAGAAATACTACGATAGAAAAAGGTACATTGAATTATGTATTATTCTGCATTTTACTGTACATGTGGATTTTGCCTATGTAATGTTTCATTACATAGGCAAGATCCACATGTAGAGTAAAATGCAGAATATAAATTCACAACCATTAAAAAATTATAAACCTTTGCCATCAAAAAATGATTAAGACAGGATTATTAAAATGCATTAAGATTAACATTTGTCTGGTTTTGTTAAATGCAGTAAAAATGACCAATTTATTTTTAATGACTAAATTTTATCCCATTATGAAAAGATTTTCCCCTTTTATATGTACAGTATCTTTTTAACTTAATTACAGTATTAACCCCATCAAATGATTAATCTCAAATAGCATCATCATAATCAATAATCATTATTGAAATTATTTTTTGTAATAGTGTAAATTATTATATTAATATTTGTTTTCAAAATTGTATTTTTTCAACTATCTAACTGAATACAAGTGAATTGCCAACTTATAGTTCTCATATTTAATATTAAAATAATTAATGAAATAATATTTAAAGGAATTCTTTTTCTGCAGTGATAACTTGAATGGGGCTTTTGAGGAATTTAAAAGATGTGCTGAGAAATATAAACATACACCTTTCAAGAATGAAATCTGTAAAAAGTTGATTGACTTAGAAGATTCTGAAAAATTGCAGACAGGTTTGTAGTTGCTATGTATTCAAATATTTAAAAGTATTTATCAGGACAACTTTAGACAAAATCATCTATTCTTTATTTAATAATTATAATTGACTTCATAATTTTCTTGTAATTTTAATATGGATATTTATCTTATATCCTTGAAGTAATTTGCAAATCAATGCAATAATGTTAATTGTGATATTTAACAAACTTATTTCCTAAAATCCGTTCTCATAAGGAAAATAAACATTTATAGATTTTTAATGTTTTGATTTGAGCTTTTTGGTTCAATGTTTAAGTGTTTGTCTTTGACTGGTTATAACTAATTTAAATTAATAATGGAGTTATCACCACAAAGCTTTTCATTTATGTCTTATTTGGTACAGAAAAATTTTGACAGTAATTGCAAAATCTTTACAAGTTTTTGTTTTTTACAAGTTGTCTTAGGGATGTTTTAGCCCTTTGAGGTTTTACTGTGTATATAAAGATAATTTGAAAATATTTGCATGATTATCATTTTATTTCATTTTATTACACTGTAAAATTATTATAAAACTCTGTGTGTAACTGTCATAGACTACAGTTGACCCCCCCCTATAATGCAGCAGATACTTTCCACTTTATAAAAATTTCACATTGTAGGAATCCTTAAATACATGAGCCAATCACAGCCCAGCACATGTGCAGTTTACAGACTAAGGCTGTTTGAAAGGTTTTCTTCCATAAAATTAATAGATTTTAGACTAATTTGACTCAACATTTCCAAAATATGTATAATTTTTTGGGAATAATTCATATAAACTATGCTATAAACAAAAAATTGTAGGATTACTTATCAAGTGTGCACCGTTTGACGACACCATTGCTTAAGCTTGTTTTCGTCATGGAGCAGCGCACCAAACAGCAGGCGCTTTTTCTGTGAAAAATTCGTTGAACTTTAGAGACATTAATAGAAATAATTTTTATGACTGTTGAATAAGAAATGTTTTTTTCACAAGAAATTTATAAAATTACAGTACTGTATTAGACTTACAGTACCTAATTTATATACTGTACAGATGATAGTAAACTCAACTTACTCGCCTAAACTCTCCGTAGTGTGTAAGTAGTTTGGCTGCTCATCCACTATTGGTCCAGATTCTACCAATCCTGTTGTGACATGAGTTGGCGATGACATTTTACTGCATTTTATGAGTCCTTTTTAGTGCCTTTATATGAATATGGTCGCAATTTTTTCGCCACAATATACAAATCCGCATTATATGAACCTGTGTTATAGGGGGGTTGACTGTATTTGCTATCTTAAAGAATTTGTGTTTAATATAAATATAGTTACTATTTTATCTTTTTTTTATTGATACTAATTTATCTTTTATATTAAAATTATTTGAATCTGTTAGAAGTTACATAAATATATGTAGGTCATACTAAAAATCATGAACAACAATTTTTTTATAAATTACATTCTATTAATTATGAAAAACTAAGAATATTGTTATAATCTACAGACTATAGACAGCTATAGATTATCTATAGCACCATGAGTGAATTTTGACATCACTAGCTTCTATCACATGACCATAGACAGCCAATACAAAATGGCTGCAACTGATGTTTCGTTTCACCAGTGTGCGTAATTGAATTTCTCGTTAAAGAGGGAATCTCAGCTGCAGAAATTTACCAGAAACTTCGGAGTGCATATGGAAATGTTTGCATGGGCACCAGCAATGTTAGGAGATGGATTAAACATTTTAAAGATAGAAACACAAGCATTGAAGATCAACCTCTTGGCCATCATCTGTGGACTGCCTCTAACAAATGCAGCAAAGAAAGAGTGAATAAGATCATTAAGAACTCTGGATTATGTAACTCTGGAAGATATTGCAGCAAATCTTGGAATATGCCAGAGTGCTGTTCAGGAGATGATCAAGAGTTTAGGCTATTGGAAAGTGTGCACCTGCTGGGTTTCATGTTTATTGACTCGTGACAACAAAATTCAGAGAAAACCATCGCTCAAGAACTTCTTAAGAGATATGGAAATGAAGGGGATGATTGGGCTGTAATTTGAAAAAATTGTAGACCTATAAATTCCCACTGAAGGTGTTAAATAGATTACCAGAACAACTCTATTGTTAAAGTACAGTCCACATCAAATTATGATGTACACGGTACATCATAATTTGAGGTGGAGAACATAAGTTTTAAATTAAATTTAAAAATATGATAAAAAATTGCAGCATGGCATTGTGATGATGTCAAAATAAATAAGTGCTCATTTTTTTATGAGTATTGTGATGGATGATGAGAGCTGGTTTCACCATTATGAATCTAAAACAAAATGGCAGAGTATGGAAGAAAAAAGGCAGACACATTTCCATCAGTTGGAAAAGTTATGGGCTTCATTTTCTAGGATGCAGATGGAGTGATTCTGATGGAATTTCTTGAACCTGGGAAAGCTTTTTGGTGCTTTGGTGCTTTTTTTGGTACTATGAAAGAAAACATGAGAGGCCAACACTATGAAACAGTGGACATCAAAAAAGCAGTGCATCAGTTTTTTCACAGTGCTGAAATGAAGTTCTAGTATAAGGGAATTCTGCTGTAGAATAGAAATTTTCAGAAAAGAATTAAAAAATACGATTTGGCTTATATAATTTAAAAAATTATTTTGAAAGCTTAAAATTCTAAAAATATAGAAAAGATGGTTATTTGAATATCGAAATACCAAATACTAGAAATTTGACCAAAAATCTGAGTTATAATTAATTAATATATAGTAAANAAAGAATTAAAAAATACGATTTGGCTTATATAATTTAAAAAATTATTTTGAAAGCTTAAAATTCTAAAAATATAGAAAAGATGGTTATTTGAATATCGAAATACCAAATACTAGAAATTTGACCAAAAATCTGAGTTATAATTAATTAATATATAGTAAATAATCATGCTGTTAATGTATATTTGGATAATGGTGATTTACATACTGGTAATGCTTTTACTTTAGTCAAAAGTTATTGGTTTCAGTTCAAACATAGTCATTTTTATAGGTATTTTAATTAAATTCCTTGGAAATTACTAATTATTACTACTACAGACAGACATATTCATCTCTATAATACAAATTATTTTTTTATTAAATAACTTCATTATTCCAATTTTATTCCAGAGATTTTTGGCAAAATTATTATTAAATTAAAAAAAAAAAACAAACATATAGATTCAGAGAAGTTCTTTGGACTATATGGATTTATTAACTACATGGAGAATTAACTAATTCTATATAACTAATTCTAGTGGTGGATCTAAATACTTCCATACATGGAGAATTGAATACACTGTTTGACCTTATATGCATTTTTATTGAAGCGGGAAGGATTCAACAGGCTCGTAAGATTGTTGAAGTAAGTGTATTTACTTTATAAATAATGCCCATAGTTATTCACTTATTACAGAAATAATTTTTTTTAAGACACCAGGTATAAGAGCACATCATAAGAAGATAAAGTCAATTTGTGAAAGATTTGTGCAACTTGATATGGTAATTTAATTTTACTATTTTTAAAACTTTTAAACTACAAAAAAATTTATAATACTGTAATTTCAGGTTAATGAACTAGAACAATTTATTAAACTGACTAAAGATATCTTTGATATCAACAGAGATAATATGTATTATTATTTAATTCGTGCTTATGGTAAGTGTGTAAGTTTTTATGAAGGTATTTACTATATTTATATTACTTGGCCTTTAACTAATTTGTTCATTTATTTTTAAACAAGAATAGACTCATGTAATAATGGTTAGGGCGGTTTAACGTACATTGTTCTTAGGATGTGTATATTACAGATATGTATTAGTCCATTGAAATAGTTAAGTTTTTCATAGAAACAGATGTCTCCAGATTATTATTGACTGTTGTATGATATTTAATATCACTACAATTTTAAATTATATAAATTTATTCATTCTGTTAGACTAAATATAAAAAAACTAATGATGATTAAATAAATATAACTTGATGATAAACAATGTAAGTGTAGTTACAACAAAAAAAAAATCATTACAGTAGTTAAGAGACTTACTGATTACTAAAATTTTTATTACTAATTATTTTTGTCAAAGTATAAGTATCATAAAATAGAGGTACTCACTATAATTTGATTCAATTTTAATGAAATGTAGCCATAATGTTTATATATGATTGAGATTGTGAAGAGAGCTTGTAATTAGAAATGAAATTGGAAAAATTCCATTAAACAAAATTTTAAATGATATACATTTAAATTGTAATTGTGTTCAACATTAAAATGATCAAAGTTAAAATGATTAAAGCTGATCACAAAATAAATTTTTTGTTATCATAATAAGATTCCTATTTTGCAAGTTTCCAGAATATTATTAATATTAAGCCTCTTAATGACTTTTGCAAATAAAAAATAGTATATTTTTATATATTAACATTATATCAACTTCATTTCATTAATATAAGACCAATTTTAATAGTTGGATATAAGATAATTTAACTCTTGTCAAATTACCTTACAGCCTGAAAATAATCCAGCAGATTGTTTGGTTTATATTTTTATATCTTATCATTTTAATGGTTTAACATTGTTAATTGAAGATGAGAAATAATGATGTGTACTAATTTATCTTTTATATTAAAATTATTTGAATCTGTTAGAAGTTACATAAATATATGTATGTCATACTAAAAATCATGAACAACAATTTTTTTATAAATTACATTCTATTAATTATGAAAAACTAAGAATATTGTTATAATCTACAGACTATAGACAGCTATAGATTATCTATAGCACCATGAGTGAATTTTGACATCACTAGCTTCTATCACATGACCATAGACAGCCAATACAAAATGGCTGCAACTGATGTTTCGTTTCACCAGTGTGCGTAATTGAATTTCTCGTTAAAGAGGGAATCTCAGCTGCAGAAATTTACCAGAAACTTCGGAGTGCATATGGAAATGTTTGCATGGGCACCAGCAATGTTAGGAGATGGATTAAACATTTTAAAGATAGAAACACAAGCATTGAAGATCAACCTCTTGGCCATCATCTGTGGACTGCCTCTAACAAATGCAGCAAAGAAAGAGTGAATAAGATCATTAAGAACTCTGGATTATGTAACTCTGGAAGATATTGCAGCAAATCTTGGAATATGCCAGAGTGCTGTTCAGGAGATGATCAAGAGTTTAGGCTATTGGAAAGTGTGCACCTGCTGGGTTTCATGTTTATTGACTCGTGACAACAAAATTCAGAGAAAACCATCGCTCAAGAACTTCTTAAGAGATATGGAAATGAAGGGGATGATTGGGCTGTAATTTGAAAAAATTGTAGACCTATAAATTCCCACTGAAGGTGTTAAATAGATTACCAGAACAACTCTATTGTTAAAGTACAGTCCACATCAAATTATGATGTACACGGTACATCATAATTTGAGGTGGAGAACATAAGTTTTAAATTAAATTTAAAAATATGATAAAAAATTGCAGCATGGCATTGTGATGATGTCAAAATAAATAAGTGCTCATTTTTTTATGAGTATTGTGATGGATGATGAGAGCTGGTTTCACCATTATGAATCTAAAACAAAATGGCAGAGTATGGAAGAAAAAAGGCAGACACATTTCCATCAGTTGGAAAAGTTATGGGCTTCATTTTCTAGGATGCAGATGGAGTGATTCTGATGGAATTTCTTGAACCTGGGAAAGCTTTTTGGTGCTTTGGTGCTTTTTTTGGTACTATGAAAGAAAACATGAGAGGCCAACACTATGAAACAGTGGACATCAAAAAAGCAGTGCATCAGTTTTTTCACAGTGCTGAAATGAAGTTCTAGTATAAGGGAATTCTGCTGTAGAATAGAAATTTTCAGAAAAGAATTAAAAAATACGATTTGGCTTATATAATTTAAAAAATTATTTTGAAAGCTTAAAATTCTAAAAATATAGAAAAGATGGTTATTTGAATATCGAAATACCAAATACTAGAAATTTGACCAAAAATCTGAGTTATAATTAATTAATATATAGTAAATAATCATGCTGTTAATGTATATTTGGATAATGGTGATTTACATACTGGTAATGCTTTTACTTTAGTCAAAAGTTATTGGTTTCAGTTCAAACATAGTCATTTTTATAGGTATTTTAATTAAATTCCTTGGAAATTACTAATTATTACTACTACAGACAGACATATTCATCTCTATAATACAAATTATTTTTTTATTAAATAACTTCATTATTCCAATTTTATTCCAGAGATTTTTGGCAAAATTATTATTAAATTAAAAAAAAAAAACAAACATATAGATTCAGAGAAGTTCTTTGGACTATATGGATTTATTAACTACATGGAGAATTAACTAATTCTATATAACTAATTCTAGTGGTGGATCTAAATACTTCCATACATGGAGAATTGAATACACTGTTTGACCTTATATGCATTTTTATTGAAGCGGGAAGGATTCAACAGGCTCGTAAGATTGTTGAAGTAAGTGTATTTACTTTATAAATAATGCCCATAGTTATTCACTTATTACAGAAATAATTTTTTTTAAGACACCAGGTATAAGAGCACATCATAAGAAGATAAAGTCAATTTGTGAAAGATTTGTGCAACTTGATATGGTAATTTAATTTTACTATTTTTAAAACTTTTAAACTACAAAAAAATTTATAATACTGTAATTTCAGGTTAATGAACTAGAACAATTTATTAAACTGACTAAAGATATCTTTGATATCAACAGAGATAATATGTATTATTATTTAATTCGTGCTTATGGTAAGTGTGTAAGTTTTTATGAAGGTATTTACTATATTTATATTACTTGGCCTTTAACTAATTTGTTCATTTATTTTTAAACAAGAATAGACTCATGTAATAATGGTTAGGGCGGTTTAACGTACATTGTTCTTAGGATGTGTATATTACAGATATGTATTAGTCCATTGAAATAGTTAAGTTTTTCATAGAAACAGATGTCTCCAGATTATTATTGACTGTTGTATGATATTTAATATCACTACAATTTTAAATTATATAAATTTATTCATTCTGTTAGACTAAATATAAAAAAACTAATGATGATTAAATAAATATAACTTGATGATAAACAATGTAAGTGTAGTTACAACAAAAAAAAAATCATTACAGTAGTTAAGAGACTTACTGATTACTAAAATTTTTATTACTAATTATTTTTGTCAAAGTATAAGTATCATAAAATAGAGGTACTCACTATAATTTGATTCAATTTTAATGAAATGTAGCCATAATGTTTATATATGATTGAGATTGTGAAGAGAGCTTGTAATTAGAAATGAAATTGGAAAAATTCCATTAAACAAAATTTTAAATGATATACATTTAAATTGTAATTGTGTTCAACATTAAAATGATCAAAGTTAAAATGATTAAAGCTGATCACAAAATAAATTTTTTGTTATCATAATAAGATTCCTATTTTGCAAGTTTCCAGAATATTATTAATATTAAGCCTCTTAATGACTTTTGCAAATAAAAAATAGTATATTTTTATATATTAACATTATATCAACTTCATTTCATTAATATAAGACCAATTTTAATAGTTGGATATAAGATAATTTAACTCTTGTCAAATTACCTTACAGCCTGAAAATAATCCAGCAGATTGTTTGGTTTATATTTTTATATCTTATCATTTTAATGGTTTAACATTGTTAATTGAAGATGAGAAATAATGATGTGTTGATTTTTATGAGGAATAATTTTAGATTTAAAATCAAGAACTAAGTAGTCTGCAAATTGGCAATCTAAACACTACTAATTTTCAGTCTACTGTTTTATTATTTTTATTTCTGTTTAGTGTTCTTCAAATATTAGGAAAGTTTAACAAATGTTGGATAATGTTAATTAAAATTTTGTCAAAATTATGATAAGAAATAAAGTACAATATAAATATTCTCAGAAAAGATTGTGATGTGTTAATATTATTTCTTTAATCAAAACTTAAATTGTAAAATTTCATTACTGATTATATTGCTTTTATTACTGCATTCTATTATTAAGTCACTAAACTAAAAATTTGTTTTTATAGCATACATCATATAATAACTTTATTCATTCAAGACAAAAAGATATATTTTTTATTCCAAAAAATTTAATTTAATGTTCAATGTTGAATTTTCCATTTAGCAAAAGAAAATAATGTACAAAAAGCCTTGGGTGTTTGGACAGCAATGCAAGAAGAAGATATACAACCTAGTGTTCAGACACTGTCATTTTTAGGAGAATATTTAAAGAAAAATAATGAACCCATTCCATTTGCAATACCTACAAATGTCAGCAGTGGTGACGAGACAAATGCATTACTTGAGAGTATTCAGGCAGAAGATGCTGATCAAGCATTGGAAATTAAAAGAAAGTAAATATTTTCATATTGTATAATACAATAATATAAAGTAATGTAATTATTGTTATATGAAAGTTTATATTTATAATAGCAACATTTCTTGTTTGTGTGTTAAGAATAACATTTAATGATACATATTTGAAGAATTATTATTATTTTTTTTTATTTTAGAAATTCTAATATAGTATTAAATGTCTATATTTTTTATTTTTTTTTTGGTTAACTTATAATATCAATTCCAGATTATTGATTATATATATCAGCTATTTTCTGGGCTATTATTTATAGTTTATAATTTGTTCTAGAAGTAACAAGTTGGTATTCTGGTATTGTTCATAATATTACAATATCCTTACTTTCTTTTTAGTTACTAATAGTTTTTGTTTTCAATCCTTGTAATGTTGTTCTCTTTTACTATTATACATTTGTTATAATTTATACCATCTGCAATTCTCAAGAAAATTCACATTTTCCATTCAAAAATTCCTTAATCTTTTTATATTTTCATCATAAATGATGATATAATCTAAATAAATAAATAGTCTGTGCCAAGTAGAATGAATAAGTAGTCTTCCACAAAATCTTCATTGCTGTTAGATTAAAATAAACAGATATGGAGGAGGATGCATTCTTGTAGACTTTTTTACATTCATGTAAAACAACTTTGTATTTTACAATCACAATCTCTCTGACAGAGTTCATTTTTAATAGAAAGATTAGAATCAAATTGTCAGAATTGAGAAAAAAACACATGCTATAAAGTTCAGAAGCAAGCTAAGGAGAACATTGAGAAGGCTAATATTGGGTTGTTCGGAAAGTAAGTTCGTTTTTTTTTCTGTGGAAAAAAACGCAATATTCTTAGGATAAATAAATATTTTATTGAATTATATGTTGACCATTTTGGTCAAATATCTGTTGTCATCATTTCTGGTAGTAGCATGATTTCACATTCATAAAAGTTTTGATCGTTGCTTACAAAAAAACCAATCCAAGTGATTTTTGACATTGTCATTTCAAGTAAATGTCTTACAGTTAAAAAAAAATTGTACAGACCGGAACAAGTAATAATCTGAGTGTGCTTGATCTGGCGAATACGGTTGGTGTGATAGCACGTCCCATCTAAGTTATAACAGTTTCTGACAAGTTACCAAACTTGTGTGAAATTTGATATTATTATGATAAAACACTACAGCTGTTTTTTTTTTTTTTTATCAATTCTGGCTGGCTTTTTTTGTTTGATGATGATATGCAATTTGTTTACTCGAATGCAGTACACTTTCGAATCAATTGTTAAATTGTCTGGTAAAAGCTCTAAAAAAAATTTCCTTAATATCCCACCAAATAGAGCATTTCTCTTTAAGAACTCGTGGAATTCATATATCAAGCTTTGAAACGAAACCAATTTGTTTCAAGTACTCAACAGTTCAATTAGTTTCAAGTACTCAACAGTTCAACAGTTCAATTAGTTCAATTTTACATAAACATAAACAGTTCAATTTTACAAATTTAATCTCTTAGTGATTTCACGTGTTGTTATTCTGCAGTTTGCTTCAATCGGTACTTTTATTTTGTTTTCATTGGCTTCAGTTGGCCATCCATAACGTAGTGCATCTTCAATACTGAAATTGCGAGAATGAAATTTTGTAAACCAGTTTTGGCACTGTCGTTCTGTCAACACATCTCCACCATACACGTCACATGATTTTTTTCTTGCTTGAACGGCATTTTTATTTTTTGGTAATAAAAAAGCAAAATATGCCAAAGATGCTGCTTTGGATCTTCCATATTTGATGGGACACAAAAAATAAACAATTGCACAAAATCAAACAAAATTTTTTACAAATAAGCCATAAAATGCTAGCTGTCAAAATATGTAATGATAATACGGTTCAGAACGAAAATGGCAGGAAAAATACCACTAATCCGTCTAGTGGTAAAAAAAACTCACTTATTTTCCGAACAACCCAATAGATATAATGCAGAATGTGGGAGCAACAGATGTGAAATAAATTCTAAGTAAATATGGGAGATTTTGTGGTAATAAAACAGCTATATCTAAATAAACTTGGATCTAACTTTGGGTCTACAGTTTATAGTCATAAAATTCAGGGTAGTTACTAACACTAAAACACTCGGACAGCAGAATTATAAACAAAAAAATTGTAAATAAGTTTCTAAAAACTCAGAATGTAAAAACCTCATATACTTTTAAAATTTATATTGTAAGAATACAAATAATAAAGAAATATTGAAGTCTTTCTTGTCATCCATTTCATTATCACAGACTCTGCCAATGTGGATCATATCTGTGCTAATATTATAAAGAGGTAATGTTTGTAAGTTTGTTTGCAGCAGGTAATCTCCGAAACTACTCATCTGATTTCAAAAATTCTTTCACCAATATTTAGAATGGAACCTTGGGGTGGACATAGGCTGTATATTATTCCGTTAAACATTCATATAAATTAAAATATATAATCTAGGTTAAGGCTTTTACGTCAAGAGATGGCACTATGAGTACAACGTCCTAAGTTTGCTTTTCTGTGAGGCATTATGCTTTTCTGTGAAAATGAACTAAAGCAGATCATCTTCTATCTATCTATATAAATAAAAATGTAATGTTCCTTTGTTCCTACCGATTCCTTTGAAATTTTGACACAACGTTGCATTCGAATATGCACGTGTTTTTATATAATATACATGTCGAAATTCCCCCCAGGGGAGATGGATAGGATTAAGTCTTACCGTAAAGTACTCTGCTTCTATTTATACTATTTCAGATGCGGTTTTATGCGTTTTTGATTGTGTTTTAATCGGGTACATCAAGAAAATGTACACTAAGGGATTTTTCGAAAAATTCCCCCCCTCCACAGGGAAGTGTTATACATTTATAATAGATACATTTTGAGCCACAACAATGTGTGGCAGGATCTGCTAGTCTACTATATAAAACTGAAAAACTGGGCTTTGTCATGGTATGCCAAAAACAGCCACTAGGGGCACCCCTAGCTATAATTTAAATTAACAATATAAATTATTATATATACATTTTATATTGTTACAGTATAGTTTAGTATATTATTATTTTTATTTGTAATAGGAATTCATTATTATTATTTTTATCTATCTACTATTTAAAACTGAAAAAATGGCCAATCTCTGTCGGCATATCAAGTGCCAGCAAAGCATAGTGGCAAACCTAGGAATTGTCAGAGTCTGAGCTTGACTCTTTTTGATGGTATTCAGCATGCATGCTGCTTTGCTGTTTTATTTTAAAAATAATTTGATATAGTGATGCTTGTCATGGTACATGACAATGATAGTTATGCTTTTTTGTTTCATTATTATGTTTTGAACTGGAGACGAGATATTATGGTACAGGTGCTCCTCACTTTACAACTTTGCAGGTCAAAACTCGACTGGTCGTTGAGCAGATAAGTTGTAAAGTGAGGAGCACCTGTACCATAATATCTCGTCTCCAGTTCAAAACATAATAATGAAACAAAAAAGCATAACTATCATTGTCATGTACCATGACAAGCATCACTATATCAAATTATTTTTAAAATAAAACAGCAAAGCAGCATGCATGCTGAATACCATCAAAAAGAGTCAAGCTCAGACTCTGACAATTCCTAGGTTTGCCACTATGCTTTGCTGGCACTTGATATGCCGACAGAGATTGGCCATTTTTTCAGTTTTAAATAGTAGATAGATAAAAATAATAATAATGAATTCCTATTACAAATAAAAATAATAATATACTAAACTATACTGTAACAATATAAAATGTATATATAATATAAAATGTATATATTTTGTAAAATGTATATATTTTGTATAAAATGTAACAATATAAAATGTATATATTTGGGGAATCCCCTTTCTCAGCTTGAGTATCAGTTGGTGGTGAATGGTGGGTGACATGTGCACTGAGCATACTATAATAGGCTTCCTATGCACTTTTTCAGTCAGTTTCATTCTGACAAGCAGTCACTGTGTAATCTTGTTTTTTTCACATATTTGTAACCCCAAAATAATACAGATGTTGATGAAAAGAAAAAGGAACTTGAATTATTAATCCAAATACTGAACATTTTAATAAAGTTGAACATGGGATGAGTGAATTTTTAAAGCGCTGTAGAGAAATTTATCAAGAAAAAAAGATTACAAAGCAAACCACACTTATGAGTTTCTTTTTGACTGTTACATCCAGGATCTCCCCATTGAAATTACAACTTCTATTTCGTCGTCGTCATCTCTCTTACCTAGACCCTCTACAGCTTCAGATAACCAAATAAACAAATGATAAAAAGACATGCTTACGTACATATTATGGATAAATTTGAAGTTTGTTGCATAATTTGTATAATTTTACCAGGGATGCACAACCTTTTCTGAAGAAGGGCCAAATTAGGATTAAGTTTACTGACTGGGGGCCGGACCTCCAAGTGATTAATGCGATGGCTGAGATTGGATGCTGGCGGCAATCTTCTTGATGTCTAGCGTAATGGCAGATGTTGAAACAACCAGCAGATTTTCCAAATTCTCGTTGGTTAACCTGTTCCGTGTTTTGCACTTGTTTAAATTCATAAGCGAAAAC